GTGCAAGACAATGACCGGGGGCAACCGGCGTGTATCGATCGTTGCGGTTGCAGATAGAAGGAAGGATACACGTGCAGACGCGCACACAATTGAAAAACAAATTTAAATCCGTAGATCACTTAGAAATGACCACACAGAGCTGAAAGGAAGATCGTTGGATAGAGCGTAGAATTTCCTTCAAACTGATATCACAATGCAGGTAATGCGTGGAAACTTGAACAAGTTTACACGCGTGAAGATAATGGAGAATTCGCTCCGAACAGCCGAACGGCGGAAACGTGAGACGCGTATGGTATATATCCAACAGAGNAGTCGAATGAGTGCTGACTCGACGTTATACGACGAGGTTTGACACATAAAATCCACGGAAAACCGAGAGCACACAAATTGAGTGACCGCACGCGACCGACGGAGATCGGAATTTTATTCTTTTTATGAGATTTAATCTGAGGGTAAACGCACTCAGCAACTGGTGATAGACTTTTATGCACAGCCGAAAACGCAATTTTCATCACCTGGCTAAAGGGCACATGGATGGCACGTATGTGCTCTGGTTCGCACGTGTGTGTGTGGGGGGGGGGAGGAGGGCGGTTCCCACCAATCCTGAGATGTGTTGCTTTTGTGATAACAGAAATCGAAACCTTTATGTATTTAATGGAGAGGATAACTTTGGGAAAGACTAGAAAGATAAGCAGACAATATGCACAGCTTCAGTTACGTATTTTGTGTATACCACACATTTCTTTTATGCGAGAGACAATGGGACTGTATAGTGCCTTATAAAAAACGTGTGTGAGTGACCTTTCAAATACAAACCGTACAAACCGGTCACTCAGACAGGCACACAGAGAGAAGGAGAGATACAGGGAGAGAAAACAGACTGACAGAGAGATTGTGGGAAAGATTACAAAAAGGTGGACAGTCCATGTGACAGATTTAATGGCATGCTATCGGTGTATGGACTTGCGCACAAGCACACATGCAAGCAGCAAAAACATCCGATCCATAACCCTCACTAATATTCGTGGTTTAAATCGAAAAGTTAATTCTGTACACCACTTTCTACCAATCTTCTTCTCCTTGACTTTATTTTTGACGGAGACACAAATTTCCCCCTCGTCAGACACTACTTATCTTCAGTTCCCTAATTACTTCCTCCGCTCTTCTTTTCTTTCTAAAGTTGATGCCTGCGCCTATATCCATCTTACATCTTACATCTGTAATCTCGAAAGTGTTTGGAACCATTATCTCCGACCAACTGCGTACGTTTCTCGAACGCGAAGGTTTGTTAATTGACCGTCAGTATGAATTTCGCTCTCGTCGATCTACGGGTGACTTACTGGCGCTCACATCACACTCCTGGTCGGCTGCATTCGATAACCACGGAGAAACTCACGTGGTCTCGCTCGACATCTCAAAGGCCTTCGACCGTGTTTAGCATGAAGGTTTCCTGTTGACATTACCCACGTTCGGATTCCACCTGTCTCTGGTATCGTGGCTTTGTTGTTTCCTCTGCAGGCGAACGATCTTCGTCCGAGTAGATGGGGTCCTATTTCGGTCATTTTATGTAAACGCCGGTGTTCCCCAAGGTTTCCTACTTTCGCCCACCCTCTTTCTCTTATTTATCAACGATCTTTTATCTCAAACATCTAATTCCATCCACTACTTTGCCAATGATGCCACTCTCCATTGTTCCCTTTCTTATCCCACAATCCGTCAAGCTAAAACCAACATCGATCACGATCGTAATGTCATTAGTGCCACTCTTTCCCCCGACCTCGGACTAATCTCCGCATGGAGTTCTACCAACCATGTGTGCTTCAATGCTTCCAAAACTTCTCTCCTCTCAGTGTCTCTTAAACATGTCTCCCTTTCTCCTCAATTGATTTCTGATTCTCTGCCCTTTCGTTGCAAAAATTTTTTCTTCTTCCTGGGTTTATCCATAAACTCTTCTCTCTGTTGGTCACCCTTTTTCTCTACACTGGCCTCTCGCGCAGCGCGCAAATTTGGTTTCCTATTACGAGCAAGGTGTTTCTTTACACCTAAGCACCTTCTTCTTTCATACAAAGCTCCAATCCGCCCGATGCTTCAATACTGCAGTCACGTATGGGGTGGGGGCTTCCTATTCCGCTCCTTCTCTCCTCGGTCGTGTTCAACGTAAAGCCATTCGGCTGATCGACCAACCGTCTTTAACTTCCACCTTGCAGTCGCTTTCCCATCGCCGGGCAGTTGCTTCGTTATCTCCTTTCCATCGCTACTGCTCTTCCGAACTCGCTTCAGCGGTTACCCTTCCATTGACCCTCACTCGTCCATCTCGTTCTTAGGCAACCAGTCACCCTTATCAGGTTTCTGTCTCCAGATGCCGGACTTCTATCTTTCAATTTTCTTCCTTCCCGAGGACTGCGAAATTGTGAAACACTTTTCCTATTTCGGTGTTTCCCAGCTCTCACAACCTTACTCTTTTCAAGAGCAGGATTAACAAATTGGTTATCACTTGAATGTTTCCCCACATACTTCCCCCTTACAGTATATAATTGATTATGAGGTTTATCCCTTTTACTGTAAATCACTTCGTGTGTAATAAAAAAAATCCAGAACAGACAGGACGAAGAAGATTTCGTAGCTTGGTTACACAATTTTTCTACGATTATTTCCTATCTGCTCATCAATTCAATGGTGATGAAAATGTTGCCGAGAACAAGTGCCCGAAGCTGATATTGTTGGATCACCGATAGAGAACAGAAATATTAACAACAATTACATATTGGTGTAGGTCAACATCACATCACCTCGGTGTGACCGGGTTTAAATAGTTCTGTTCGAGGGTTGCGATCGGCTGCTTGCATCCCTTCAATCCTATTGGTCTGTTGCGACCATTTGCTGTGATTTGATTGGCTGCTTCGTTATCATGGTGACAAACTTCTTCCGTAGTGGTTGACTGGCTTTCTCGAACCAACCGCAAACCGCTTTGAACCGGTTCCGAATGAGCTAGAACGGGTTTTAGACCGGTTCTAGTTCGGGCAGTCTTGGGTCACTAATATTCCCTTAGTGATAAATAGGGTCCGCTTATATATGCTTGTTTATAACGTCCATCCTGGAGTTCCATGCATCGATGAATTCCCGTATTGACTTTGTGGTTTCTCTTCCGATTATGCTTGCGTTGTCCAGCTCGAAGGGATGCAAAGAGACGGTTAAAACCCTCGAACAGAACTATTTAAACCCGGTCACGCCGAGGGATGGCGCTTCCCTGAATTCGCACTAATGATGTTGTCTGATCTGGCTACGAAACGTTTGCGAACAACATTTACAGATCGGAAAACTCAGCAACACAGATATTCGCATCCCTTCCTACAATCATTCCACACAATTTCCTAGTGTTCCATCACTCATTACCAACGCAATAAACAACCGATCCTCTGAATTTAAGGGTCATTTAAAGCAAGTTCTTAGTTGTAACTTACAGATATGGTCAGTGACAGGTTGTATCGAGGCAGCTAGAACACACACATCTACTGATTACAAAAACAAATATTAATATTATATTAGTCAACATATAATTGCAAACCTACTGGGGACAGGGGAACACAAAAACGCACAAACGACAACCACTGATTGACAGTATATAATAGACGAATAAGGCTTACTTGAAATGCGACCAGATGCAAATTCCTGTGTACTATCCCGTTTGCATCCGGCTCGGCCATAAATACCGATCCGCTAGTTCGTGGACCACCGGCCAATTTTCTCACCAGTTTGGCCAAATTGAATGTATGGAAAGCAATGGAATTGGACAGTGGTTGTGGTGGAAGCCGCTCGAACGCTTCAGACCACTGATCCGTTGGGTCGATCAAATCTTCCGCAGTCCAGTTCGGTCGGGTAGTGGTGACTGAGCACACTTCACCAATCGGCTCGGAAGCCGCATCGTCATCCCGAACATCGGCATCATCGTCGTCTTCGTTACCACGATCCTGACAGTTCTCCTCCATACTGTTGACATTACGGTCTTCATTGTCTTTCTGCGTGCTGTTGGAAAGAAGCTGACTGGAACACGGGGTATTTACTGTCCGACTTTCACGGGGCTGAAAAGAGAAGGGAGGAAAAACCTGATGCAATCACACACAGAGATGGAGGCAGTTTGGCAACCTTGTTTACACAGCGTAAGATTAGAAAAAGAGAACTCTTATTGAATAATAAGCAGGGACAAAAATTATTGAAGAAGATTAATGGGTGTGATGAAGATCAGCCCATAGAATATACGTGAAGAAACACTACAATAACACACGAAATGTTGGTCCAATGGAGTAGGGAACAAATCGTTCCTAGACAGAAAACATAACTCAGGGATCGAGCACCGCTGTACGCCGTGAGAATTCCAGACCAAGACAACATATTTTATCAAGTCTTACATGCGAATCACCGGTTGCTACCTCTCGATGATGCGAGAAGTCTTCGCACTTCATTGGACAGCTACCGTCCGCCCAAGCTGGGTAGCCCCTAGCCAATAAGGTGCTGTCCCGTCTACGTTCTGCTTGTCTTATTGGGTGCATGAGGCTGAGGGCCGATCTCGAAAAGTGGACCGTCAACTAACGCACCAGCGGACAAAACACTGAACCGAAATTCAAAGGCCTTGCGTGACAGGTCTACAGGAGCTCCCACACGGGTGCTTCCTTCACACTCCCGCGTTGGATCTACGCCCCACTGCCTTGTGCGTCAGACTTTTGAGTTAGAGGCTCCGGTTAGGATTCCTAAAGAAAATCCCTTCGTTGGTGTGGGAAACCGCGAAGTGTGCCGTGCCCAAAAGTCGTAGGTACCCATTTTGGGAACCATCTGTTTCATCTGTCTAGTCATTCTTCTCAATCCCAAATAATCACAGGTGCCTCCTGTTTACGAGACTCATCGGAAATCACTGAGCGTTCAACTAATAAGGGTACTCAGAGGCTACCAGATTTTTGAAACCAAAATCCCCTCTTCATTTAGCTGCACTCAATGTCCGCACATTTTATCAGACCGGTCAACAAGTTGCCTTAGCTAGAACCCTTGAAACCTTCCATTTAGATGTAAGCTGTGTCTCCGAAACACGCATACAAAACCCTACTTCCATTATCTCTCTGCGTTCTCCTGATCCAACCTCAACCTCACGCTTCACCCTTCGTGTGTCAGATGATTCGGCATCCGAAGCTCGAAGTGTTGCTGGTGTCGGGATTGCACTAAGCCTGAACGCTCGCTTCTCAACTGCATTCCAGTCAGTAGCCGACCGTGCGCCGTACGTCTCAACGGTTCAGTACGAGTCAACAGCTACAGAACGAAACGTCGATGATTATTCGTCGTGTCGGTATGTGCATCGACCGATTGCGGTACACCGGAAATCAAGGATGAATTCTACAAGGACTTTTGTCGATCACTTCAAAGCGTGATAATCGCCGGAGACTTCAATGCTCAAGTGCAATCCCTGGACGAATCAGAGAGGTTCCTTGGTGGACCACATGCAATCCCAGCCAACCGGACGGACAACGGCGACCGCCTACTTCAACTCTGTGCAGACCACGGACTGCTGTCAAGCACGAACTCCTCGCACAAGAAACGACACCGCCAACCTCTTCACAGTGCTGGACCCAAATCGACCACATCGGTATCAGTTACCACTGGAGGGGATCAATTCAAGACCGTCGCTGTTAGTGGTCAACACCTGTGGATACGGACCACACTTTGCTACGAGCCAAAATGTCCTTACGCCTGGAAAACAACCCTAAAAAGCCACCGAAAACGGATACCTACGATACAACATAAGCGATTGTTGCAAATCAGACTTCGAAGCGGAACTCTCCGATCGCCTGTCAGTTCAATCACCAGTCGAAGGACTCAATGAACACTGGAAGCAAATCAGGGAAGCTATGCAAATATCACCATAAACAACGTCAGACCGTCACGCAGGCTCAAAACATAAACGATGGATATCATCGACCTCGGCTGCCCTGCTGGACGCCCGCAGAACACTTCCTCCCAATGCCGCATACGACACAGCGCGCAAATCCCTCCAACGCCAGCTCATCAAGAGTCTGAGGGATGACCGCGAGTAGTGGATAGGAGAGTGTAGAGAGATGGAGAAGGCCTTGGCTATCGGTAATACCCGCAATCTTTTTCGTCTAATTGAAATACGAGTCCTCGGAAAATAAGCGTGAGATAATTAAGGAATCCGATGGCACACCGATTCACGATCAGCAACGCCGTCTACATCGATGGACTGAACATTTCGAGGCTCAGTTCAATTGGCCCCCCATCGACATCTGAACTACCACTCTCCACTGCGACTGCGCAAATTCTGCCAGTTGATGTCAGTCCTCCATGTGAAATGGAGGTTTCCCGGGAAATAAGCTATCTCAAAAGGCATAAGGCCTCCGGCCAAGACGGGCTCTCCCCATCCCTTTTTAGGAACGGAAGTATAGCATTGGTCTCGGAGTTACCGAAACTCCTGAGTTCAGTGTGGGAGAGGGAACAGGTTCCAGTTAATCGGTCATCATACCGATTTACAAGAAAGGTGACAGATCCTCTTGTGAAAACCACAGAGACGTTAGCTTGATCAACATTGCCTCTAAACTTCTCGCCGGCATCATATTCAGTCGATTGTCTGCGGCTCGTGAAGAGTGCACACGTGAGAACCAGGTTGGTATTATACCTGGTCCAGGTTGTATCGACTACATCTTTACTCTTCGCCAAATCCTAGAGTACAGACACTCTTTTCACAGACCCATCATTTCCATCTTCCTGGACCTTAAAGCGGCTTTCGACTCAGTCGACCGCTCTAAACTCTGGCGCTTGCTCACTCCGAAAGGTGTGCTCGAGGAGCTTATTTCAATACTACGCTGTCGGTCGGACGCATCACAGATAAAGTGTCGGCGCGCATACAGAAAGCTCGGTTGGCATTTGCCAACTTGAGACATCTGTGGCGCC